CGACTCGGGTGCGTCGTGGGCCCTTCTGGGTGCGGACCTTGAAGAGGGCCTTCGCGCGGGGCCTTTTGCGTCTGCAGACGGTGGAGGTCAGCAGGAAGGACCTTGTGTCGGAGGAGATAAAGCCCGTGAGAGTGCTCTGTAGCCTGCAAGTGCCTTTAAAAGTGGGGGTCCCCCGACGGCTCTCTTTACTCCCGGCCTCCTCTTCCCAGAAAAGGTTGGTCTCTAGGAATGCGTCCTCCCCCGAGAGGACCTCACCCCGCGGTGCCCGGTTCCGCTCCCTCACCCCGCGAGCCCGGCTTTTGGAGAGCATTCACTATGCTCTTACGCACCTGTACTAGTACAGCTACTAGTACAGCTCTGCCCCCGGCATTTGCTGCAGCCCCTCTCCGAGGCCCTGGGGTTTTCCACGTTGACAAGACCCGCGATCGTCCTTCCGTACACATTTTCAGTTCCTTCTGCAGATCAGTTCTTTGTGCGGGTCTCTAAAACTGGGAACGCGATAAAAGAACATAAAGCCTTAGGGTTTCTTCTGTATTTTGTTGCAGGGTTTCTGCTACCATCTAAAGTATCTGTGAAGATCTTTCAATTTTATTTTTATTAACATTTTTTAATTGAGGGGCGTAAGGAGAAAGCTTCACTCTCTTGAAACACCTTCCTTGACGTGACTTTGTTTCATGTTTTGATGTAAAATATCCGAAGTAATGTGCGTGCTGGCTGCGTGTTGTCTGACCTTCTAACTTAACTCAGTGCCTCATTCCAGTTCTCAACTTCACTTGCCAACAACGTACAGAACCAAGCACTGGGCATGGTCCAGTTTTCCTTTTGTGGGACTTAATGTAACAGCCAGCTGTAATAAATACGGTTCGTTTTTTATTTTTTCCTTGGTACTTTCATTTTAAAGTGAGAAAGGGAAGGAATCTTTTTTTTTAAAATATATTTTATTAATTTTTTTACAGAGAGGAAGGGAGAGAGATAGAGAGTTAGAAACATCGATGAGAGAGAAACATCGATCAGCTGCCTCCTGCACATCTCCCACTGGGGATGTGCCGGCAACCCAGGTACGTGCCCTTGACCGGAATCGAACCCGGGACCCTTGAGTCCGCAGGCCGACGCTCTATCCACTGAGCCAAACCGGTTTTGGCGGAAGGAATCTTTTTAAAGCAGCTTTTCATTGGATTGTTTAAATTTAAATTTGTGATTGTCATGGACTGAAAAAATAACCATCGGTTAGAAAGTTACTTGGAATCTAGATAAACTGTCATTTCACCCTGTTCAAAACTGTCAAAGTACAATTACAATGGAAATTCTATGAAGATATTTAGATACAGGTTCATGAGGGTGAGCAATATAAAAGCGATATACAAAGTGATGATTGAAAGGTTGGTGTTGACATTAGGATTTCCTTTCGATTTCCTTTTGGGAGCTTACTTTGGTTTGGTGGAAGAAGGAAGGACCCTAGAGCTTATCCTGAATATAAGGATCTCAAACATCCTTGTTCTCTGTTTTGTTGGCAGTTACCTTTAATCTCTGATCAGACATAGAGACACCACTGAGGAGATGGTTGAGAGAGATACGGGTTGGGAGTGAGGCACATTAGGGTAAGAAAACTTGGACAATGCCATTAAATATTTGTCTCTTAGAGGCTTTGTGATTTTGACAAGGACAAAAGCTGTGTTGAGTGAGATTCATAACACTTCTAAGGAGTTTTTCTTTAAAGGAATTAAAATACATACTTCAGTTAAGAGAGATGACATAATGCTCAAGGGCCAAATGTGCAATGTGATGTGACCACTATCCAGATCAATATATATATACTAGAGACCCAATGCATGAAATTCGTGCAAGAGTAGGCCTTCCTTCCCCCAGCTGCCAGCACCAGCACTGGCTTCCCTCTGGCCGCTGGCACCAGGGACCCAGGCTTCCCTCTGGCCGCCAGCAGGCAACTGGGACCCGGGCTTCCCTCGAAACCCCAGCTTCGTCCGTAATTAGCATATTATGCTTTTATTATTATAGATAGAATACTGGAGGCCCAGTGCAGGGATTTGTGCACCGGTGGCGTCCCTTGGCCTGACCTGCGCCCTCTCGTAATCCAGGACCCCTTAGGGGATGTCGGAGAGCCGGTTTCGGCCTGATCCCCACAGGCCAGGCCGAGGGACCCCACCGGTGCATGAATCCATGCACTGGGAATCTAGTCTTATCTAATAAAGAGGGAATATGCAAATTGACCATCATGCCAGAATGGTCAAGATGGCTGCGCCCACAGGGGAGGCCCAGTTCCCATAACAAGCCTTAATGAGCAATCAGCAGGGATCTGAGGCTGTGCCCCCTGCCCAGTGGGACTTGACAAGGGACCTCAGGCCGTGCCCCCCACCTCAGTGCTGGGCCGGGGGACCTCAGGCCATGACCCCACCCCGGCACCAGACTGGGGGACCTGAGGCCATGCCCCATGCCCCAGCACTGGGTTGTGGGACCTGAGGCCGCACCTCCCATCCGGTGGGGCTTGATAGGGGACCTCAGGATGCAACCCCCACCCAGTGGGGCTTGATGGGGGACCTCAGGCCACACTCCCTGCCATGGTACCTGGCTAGGGGATGTCAGACTGCGCCCCCTGCCCCGGCGCCAGGCCAGGGGACCTGAGGCCGTGCCCCCCCGCCATGCATGGCTTGACGGGGGACC